GTCACCGTCTGCAGGCTCTCCCCTCCGGAATGTACGATGCCTGCCCCCGACGAAATCTATTCTCTCGGGTCAGGGTGTGTTGTCGTTGTACGGGGAGAGTGAGAGAGAGAGAGACAGAGGGGGGGGGGGAGTGAGAGAGAGAAAGAGATAGGGAGTGTGTTAGATAGAGATAGAGAGAGTGTGAGAGAGAGAGAGAGAGAGAGAGAGAGAGAGAGAGAGAGAGAGAGAGAGAGAGAGAGAGAGAGAGAGAGAGAGAGAGAGAGAGAGAGAGAGAGAGAGAGAGAGAGGGAAATAGAGAGTGAGAGATTGCCACACAGGAATGAGAACAAAGAGAAGGTGCACTCGACGAACACGAGTATCACTCCCTGCCGAGCCGTTTCATACTTAGGTCCAACGCGCCTCCGCATCTAGTGGAAAACCCAATTCCACGCCTGCTGGAACTGCGCCCACGACTCACATTGCTCACCAAGGAGAAATCCGCGTGCGCTCTTTGAGCGACAAGAATAAAAAAAAAAACAGCCCCAAAACCTCGAACCTGTTAGGCAAGGCCAACAGCCCTCACACAAACTCTCACCCGCACCTCCCCCCCCCCCAAAAAAAAAAAACAGCCGATCTAACATTCCGCCGAGCCCCCCCCCCGACTTTTTCGTCCGGCGAGAGAACATTCCGGGGTACGACGATGACGCAAAAAGAAGAGCAAGTTTCGAAGGAGAAAAAGAAAGAAAGAAGACAGCAGCACAAGTACCGTAGGTCGCACAGGTCACCACACCTCCCGGAGCAAATCTCAAAGCTCGACTATTCCCCGACTGTAAGAGGGTGCCAAGACCATACGACACGTTCTAGGAGAGCTCTCGAGGAGACGGTTCCAACGCCATCTTGCCATGATCTACGGTGCTTCACGTGCACTTCAATCGAAAATTCCAGGGTGTGTGTGTGTGTGTGTGCTATCTTTGCTATCGTATGCGATGATCTACGGTGCCCCACGTGTACGTTTCTCGAAAGTTCAGTGTGTGTGCTATATATTGTGCCATGATCTACGGTGCCCCACGTGTACTTTCCCCGAAAGTCCAGGGCGTGCATGTGCCATCCTACGCGATGATCTACGGATCTTATCCGATAATCTAGACATCTTATTGCCGTGATCTGCGGTTCTCACGTGCACCGGTGCGTCGGAGAAGGTGGAGAGCAGGCCGGGCCTCGACCACCGCCCCGTGGCCCTGGCGGCCCACTTCTCGTCGATAAGGCCCTCGATGATCACCGGCTTCACGCCCTCGTAGTGCCGAGAGAAGCGCTTAGTGGTCATGTTGGTGTGGTGCACCCGCTCGATGTCGCACCGAGAGATGCCCATGGTGTTGGCCATGCTGTGGGCGGTTGGCGACCGGGACAGGGGTGGGACGCGCGGTACTCTTAATGTTTTTTGCATGTGTTAGTTGCTAGGCCATTGACCACGCGTCCTCGAGAGGACGGAGCATTGACGGGCGTAATGGGGGGGCGTAAAGATCGGGGGAGGGGGGGGGGAGGCGGAGGATATGACCACGAAGCGGGGGGGAGGAGAGAGAGAACGGTTCCTAGGCGATTCAAGATGGTGCGTTCGTGTGGAGGTTTCAGGTTGGACAGAAAGAGGCGTGCATGATAAAACGGAAGGTTGTTCTTTTTGGACACTGACTCACCCACTGTACGACGCCTGAGAATTCACAATAAGAGCTCAACAAGAGAGCGTGAAAAGACAAACTCTGTACTTGAACGAATCAACCACGCTGCTTGAAAAACGAAGGGTCATTACGGATACAAAAGTGAAATCCCAATGGTTCCAACGTTTCCAAACAGAACGTGGTACACAGTTTATCTATCACACGCTCCCTGAGACCGCGTTCATACACCGAGGGCTGAGAGATTTACGCCCCCGGCCGAACCGAACCCCGGGTTCCGTCCTCTAGGTGGAAAGCGGCGTGCCGGAAGGCCGTCCGTGGTGTCGTGTGTTGGCTTGTTGCATGGAATGGAGTATGGTGGTGGTTGGTGCGGTGCAGCTTAACGCAAGCATGGTGCGAAACAACCGCCGTTTGGTTGTACAAAACAAAGAAGGACAACCTCCGTCGGTTGCACGTCCTTTCATGCTCGCGCGTAGCCGCCAGCTGCCCACAAAAACAAAAAAAAAGAACGGCAACGACCACGCAACCACGCCTTCTGTCTGTTACGCGTGGGCACGAACCTTAGCCAGCTGCAACCAAAAAATTACTGAGACCCCTTTACATCTGTGGAAGAGATGTTTGGAAGAAAAATGCTTTAAGTCATAAAAACCAAATAAACAACAGCAACAAGGGCACAAACACGACCTCCGCCCGCTAAACGTGCGCGCAAAACCGGCAGCTGCACCAAGAACACAAAATAAAAGAGCGGCAACAACAGCAACAACAACAACAACAACAACCATGCTTACATGGGGTCCTCGAGCCAGTCGCCGTTCGGGGCGTCCTCCTCCGTGGTGTCGCGCTCGCTAGGCTCAAAGGTTTGCTGCTGCCGCCCGCGTCCCCCGGTCTTCTCCCCGTTGGCGTCGAAGCCCTCCATGCTGAAGGGCTTGCTGTTGCTGGCGGCCTGGAGGCTGGTCTTCACGCCCAGGATGGCGGCCAGCACGAGCACAGCAGCGGCGACGGCGATCGCTGCCTGCGATAACAACAGCAATCACCAAGGGCCAAGTCTTCTTCAAACACACTTTTCATTGGGTCAGACGGTTAGCGCGGTCGATGCACACAACCACCCCCCGGTTTGTTTGCTGTCCTTCGCTCTTTGGCATCGGTGGCTTTCCTGCTGCTGTACGTCAAGAGCGAAGGCATGTGTAAAGCCCTTCTCTCAAAGAAAGACTTGAAAATAGAAAGTTTTTTCTGGCTTTCACACTCAGCGCTTTGCGCCTTTTTTGGACCTGCCAAGGGACCTTGATTTTAGGGTTTTTACCCGCTCGCACTGGTATCCTTGCATTGGTCAGCCGGTCAGCGCGGATAACAATGCCAATATTTCGGCTTGTATTGTACTGGTAAGACACATGCCGACGAGTTTGCGTTGGTCATCACCCATCATTGTCCTGGCACAATGTGCGTGCAAAACTCTCACTTCGTAGAATACTTCGCGTGACTGCGGCGGCGACATTCGACGTCGCAAAACACTGCAAGGTTGCGAGCAGGCCTGCATTGAACAACGGTTTTCATGCTGGTATGCATACATACATCATGGCGGTTCAAGCCATGGAAGAACAACGTGCGGAGACAATTTTATCATTTAGACCGAAAAAAGCAAAGGTATGTAGGTACAGTAGAGAGCCTGAGAGAGCGCGAGTATATCTCGAAGAATTCGAGTCAGGCAAGAAGGCAGGGTACGGCAGCGTGAGGCAGAAGGCCTCGACAAGGGAACATCGCAGAGGGACCTTTCGTCACTGCTGTGTGCTTGTTCGCGTTGCTTAGTATGCATACAGAAACCGAGTGCCACTACGCCCTGCAACCCGCCCACATAACGAGAACCTTGCCAGCTGGTGCCAGTCGATAATATATTTGGACACCATGAACAGCCATCGAGTCTGTGCATTTGCAACAAAGCAGCGCGATCGCTGCTCGTGCGCTAAGCCGCTCGCTGCCTCACGCGGGGGAGGCTAGACACATGGTGCACCCCGGAGTGAGTGCCCATCGTGCACGCTGAACGTTTGCCCGTGCGCAAACGTGCACCCTGCAGAGAGCTTTTTCCTCTAGGTGCAGGGTGAATAAAGCAGCAGTGCTTGCAACACACAGCAGTAGTGCAACTGCGGTTAGCACCCCGTTGCCCTACGGGCGTGTGTGTGCGGGCGCCGGTCTCGCTATCCTATCCGAGCCTGCCAACAAATTTAGTAAGTACCGGTATGTAGCAACCCTTCAGCTCTACCGAAGCGGGGTAATAGACCATCTCTCTCGAAAATTCCGATCTCGGGATGCTGTGCGGTGTTGCCGCCTTCGGGCGCAGCAGCTTTTCAAGGTACGGATAGCGCGACGCGACCAAGACGCGACGTAGCGGGAAGCTGCTGCTTGCTCCCCACAAGATCTTTCGTCGATACTTAAGCGTGTTGCGATACAGGAACACAGAGAGAGAGAGAGAGAGAGAGAGAGATAAGGTAGTCGGGGTGATCGGATGATTGAGCGTGCTCTCGATGACCACCACGACCACAGACACAGAGAGAGAATATGCATACCTTGGGGATCTGTACTGTTGGCTCCGGCGGTGGCTTTGACTTGGAACCATGGCGCCGTTCGTGCCTGCTCAGGCGCCTGGACTCACCAGCACCGGTGTCTTTCGTCGAGCTCATGTCTCCCGTGCTGCTGCTGCTGCTGCTGCTGCTGGGGCAGTGCGCGTCGCTACTGCTGCACAGCAGTACAAACACACGGAACGAGCGAGGGGTTTCGAAGAAATCGATTGGGCCGACCAAGTTCGTTGACCAATCAAATTGCCGTAAAATCAGTGCTGTCTGCTGTATCTCGCCGCATCTTCGCGGCTACCGGCGACAACCCGCACACCCGCACACATACCGACCGCGCAAAGACTAATGCGCACAGCTCAGAGTAAAGCCCACTGAAGGACCACCACCACCACCGGTGAGCGCGCACGAGTCGACAGCAAGGGCGGGCTCAGAGGCAGCTAAAGACTTAAGCCAGCGCCGCGTTGCTGCTGTGGTTCCTATGAAAAAAGAGGATCAGCAATTGTTCTTGTGATGGCCGAGGGAGGAGGTAGACCGCCGGTGCAGTATGTATCTCGCTTCAAGATGCCGGAGGACGGGGCGGAATTTCTGCGTCCCGAAGATATCTCCCACAGGGGCGTGGGGCTGCCCGCGGCCTGCGTGAACGGAGACCTCCCCCTCGTGGCCATGCTGCTGGCGGAGGGCGCAGAGAATGGGATCAATATGCTCAGCGCAGATGCGGTGAGTGATGAATACTGCTGTACGAACACGGAAAAAAAAAAGTAAGATGCGAGATTTTTGTGAAACGGACACATGCATACTGCAGAGAGATTTTTGTGAATACTGCAGGAACTTTCATCAATACTGTATGCAAGCAGTTTAGAGATGGCCACGAATGCAGTGCTCGTTCGGGCCAGGTTTATGTACATAGACCAGGCGTTCTCCCGCCCGTACTGGGCACAAACCCGCACGGTGTGTGTTTTGCAGCCAAGCAGATGCCCTCTCGGCAAAATCATCCTATAACCTGGCAGAAATCAGCAGCTGAGAAAATATTCAACCCTAGAGTTTCTCGACGAGACGAACTCTTGTTGTTGATCGTGGCAGTCCACTACTTGCATCATGTCTACATACGAGCACACACGCAGGCTACAGCAGTACTTCTATGTAACGACATGTGCATGGAACACCTACAGCAGTAATTCGGAATAAGAGCAAGGCGTTCCATCATCCGCTGCCAGATGTATGGTACCACCGAACTGCTGCTTACAACTCGATGGAGCATTGAAATGTTATCGTTCGCCCCCCCACCAAATCCCCGTCGCCCTATTCTACGGTACATGAAATGTTATCGTTTTCACCCACCAACCATCCCCGCACGTTACCGATACTAAAACAACCCTTTACAGGACGGCAATAACCCCCTCCACTACGCCTGCCTTAGCGAGAGCCCGGATCTCATCACCTTTCTCCTGCGAAAGGCCGACGCCGCTGCTGCTAGCAGCAGCAGCAGCAGCAGCAGCCCCTCCGCCGGTGCCGCTAGCAGGCGGCCGCCGTCGGGCGTGCACGATACCCCGAGGCAGAGGCTCGCCAAGTCCCGGCTGCTCGAGGCCCGCAACGCGGAGTCCGAGACGCCGCTGCTGAGGGCGGCGGTCGGGGGCAACGTCGCCGTGGTGGATGCCCTCTTGGTAAGGCGCACGTATGTGTTTCTTCATGTGTAGTCTACAGGCGACCGTAAAAGTTAAAAGTTGTGCGCGTTGTGGTGGAGACAAGCTTGATGAGCGTGAACATGCAGTCCTCCTGCTGCTGTTATTAGATAAGTAGGAAATACACGTGCAGTAACTTGAAAAGACTGCAACACCCGCTCGAGATAACTAGTACTGTACCACAGCAGTCATAGCGTGTAGAGGGGAGCGGAGGGCTCCAGACTATCTGTCGTTGATTTAAATTGGCTTGCAAACCCTTCGGGTCCTTTTGTTTGAATGTATGCACCTTTCTTGTTAGTACATGTACCTCGGGTAGGGTAAGTTAGCCTGTGACCGCGGGAATCGTCCGGTCAGGTGTTTGATCAGTACGGACAGATGAAGGTACTGGGAAAGGGAGATCGAGACGGTTTTTATTGTGAAGACGACAACAACAACAACAACAACAACAAGTCAGTCGAAGGCATGTGTAGGAAGTCTTTACAGCAGTGAGTGAGGAAAGGAACCTGCTGGATACTGGGCTAACTTTGGGGCTGTTTGACCCTAATAGTCTACACTGAAGGATGCGGTTGGAGTTGTAGAGAGGTTTGGCGGTGTACGCACGGTTTCTTCGTGAGCGCGGAGGCAAAGCTAACGTCGCCCGTATGGCGAGCCCGGCACCCCAAGCAACCGGCTGCTCATAATGTACACCAACCGTTCTTATTATTTCTAAGTATTCGGGCGCGATTGCGAAGCCGCTGTTGCCGTGCTGCATGTCCCACCCTTTGGCGGCACGGCAAGCTCTGTAATTATTTCGCACCAAATCCACTCATTGAGCCTACAGAAATCGCTCGTGCTTTTTACGTTCCAAAATTTTGCGCACTGATGCAAAGCAGAGCCGTCTCTCGAGAATTCCGCATTGGTTGGTCTAGCGAGGGTGCTAAGTCCGCCGTCTCTTTCTTGCCGACTTGTATTCGAGACGCATCGCCTAACTTCTCAACGCCTTTTCTACCAAACGCAGTTGACGCGAACGGCGCGCGCTGTATCGACGGCTAAATGGTTGCCACCATTCCATGTACACCTCCCCCGCCCCCCCATCTGTCGGACCCCCCCCATCTCTCGAGTAGGAGGCTGGAGCGGACATGTTCGCAGTGGATGCCAGCCAGAACACCGTGTTTCACAACGCGGCCCGTAACGGGATGCTGTGGGCGTTAGCCTTCTTCCTGTCGACGGAAGCCACGAAGCACAAAGCAATAAGCTCAGGAGACGGAGGAGGGGTTGGGATCGTGCAGGAGGACACGGCAAGAAACGGCGGCGGTGGCGTCAGCGGCGGTGCACAGGACGGCAGCGGCGGCGACCCCGGTCAAGGAGAAGGCTGCGCGAGGGACGGCGGTTGCAGCGGTGATCCCCGTGATGACGGCGAAAGCGCGGACACCGAAGCAGCGATGGCGGCGGCCTTCGGCCGCCGCAAGACCCGAGCCGGCTCCACCGAAACGGAGAACAGCGACAACTGCTGTGGCACCGCGTGGGCGGCGGCAGCGGGGGAGAGAGGCCCAGCAGCCGCGGCGACAGGCGGGCACGACGCGACGACGCCCCTCGACCCGAGGGTGGCCTCGCTGCTGTCCCGCACCGACTGCGACGGCCACACGGCGCTGGACTGGGCCTGCTATTCGGGCCACACCGGGGTGGCAAAGCTTCTCGTCGAGCACGGCCTGAACCCCTGGTCCTTGGACGCGGGAGGAAAGAGCTGCTTGCACTGGGCGGCGAGCCAGGTAGGAAGAGAGCGTGCTTGCTTGCGCAGACTGCTGCTGCTGCTGCTGTGGCCGACCGGAAGGAAGATTATTATTGTGGTAGTTCACGGGAGGGGTAAGTTAAGTGGCGGTATTTTCTCGGTTGGTTGCGGTTGGCAGCCATCACGCGGCGGGGTGTCGACGGCGGGGCGTGACCGTGGTGACTGGTAGGGCTCCTCCCCACAGCCGGTGTCTCTGTCGGGCATTCGACATACGCCACCCGTGGTTTTTGCCCGTGTAAAACATACGTTTTGTATCGTCTGCCACCCGCTCCGTCCTCTCGAGGACGCGTGGTCAAACAGCCAAGGCATTGAAAAACATGGGTACACCCCCTCCCCTGTTTCCCGACAAACGAACGAAAAAACAGGGTCGGGCTGAGACATGCCGCTACCTCGTGCTTCTCGGCATGGACCCTCGCCTACCAGACGGCGGCGGTTCGAGCGCGTTCGTGCTAGCCGAGGGCAACCACGACCCCCGCCTCACGCTGGCCGCGCTGCGTCTCGCAGACGACGTCCGGCGGGTTGGCACTCGCCGCGAAGGCGGCGGGGGCCGTTGTTCTGCCATGGTGTCGACGATAATGAGTCGTGGTAGTGGGAGGAGGGTCGGTGGCCGCAGCAGCAGCAGCAGCAGCAGCGGCAGCGGCGGTGGCTCCTTTGGCGTCGATGAAGTGGACGGGCGTTTCGCGAAGCGGGCCCCGACCGCTGGGTCGGCGGTGCGCGGAGAGGGGGGCCCCGGTGATGTGGAGAAGGGAGGGGGTGGGTATACCCCCGGCAGCGACGCCGGTAAGTGGGTTTTTGTGCGGCTGCCGGCTGCTGCCTTTTGCCTATTGTAGAGGGAGACAATACCCCAGGGGGGCGGGGGCAGAGAGAGCGGGTTCACAGCACAACTGTCGCGGTCATCGACGGCCGTTCAAGGGTAGAACGGTCATCGTCATCGCACACGCAGCGCGACGAACACTTTCTCACGTCACCTCAATCCATTTTCCTTCCCCCCCCCTTCAAACCCACCCTCATCTCTTCTCCGTCACCCCGCCAAATTCATCACATCCTTTCTTTGTCTATATCCCTCTTGCCTTCCGCAATCCCACGGAGCCCACGTCGCGACTCCCACCCCCCCCTCCACTTGTTCCGCCCCTACGTACCCCCCCCCCCCGGACAGGCGACATCATCGTCGTTCCCGAGCGCCTGAATCCGACGAGGGCGTGGGTAGTCGCGTCGTACGCGATCCCCATCTGTGGGGTCTGGGCGTTGTCTTTCGTCGTGCCTTGGTGGGGCTGGTTCCTGGGGAGTGTCGCCGTGCTTGTAGCGGCCCGAAAGGCCGCGCAGCTCGCGGCTGCTTTCGGAGGCGGCGGCAGCCGGAAGGGGGGTGCCTCGGATGGGAGAGCGGGGGGGGCATGGGGGAGGCGCGGGAGGTGAGGAGGCGTCGCGAGCGCTTTTACCGGCGCGCTTTTGGTTTGTTGGAAGGGGGTGGGTTCGGTTGTATCTTTTGTGGTGGTCAACGAGGTTTTAGAAAAGCAACGCTTTCGGGTTTGTTGTTGTTTTTGTGGCAGCGAGCGCGTTGTGCGATAGGGTGTGAATGGTAGCCTACGACGGGGGTGCGAACGCGACATACGTGCACGCTGTCGTCGAGTGCCGGTACCCACACGTCCTTTTTACACTCGAGAGAAGAAAAGGGGAGGGCTAAGACTCAAAATACGCCCAGGTTCCATCCAGCCGGTTTCCCTCCACTCACTGAAAAGACTCCACCACATCCCCTTCGACTGTGGTTATTTTCTCGAACGGGTAGTTTTTCTGTGAAATTTATTTATACTTTTCTGAAGAGGGGCGGGCTTACTCCGTTGTCCGGAAGGCTCTGCAGACAACAACGGCAGCAGGACTCGGCACACATCCCTGCCGCTTCGTTTTTCCTCGTCTGCATGCATGCTTCAACTCACTCGAACTGCATTCGAGCTGCATGCGTGCTCCAACTCGCTCGAATTGCATTCATGCTCCAACTCACTCGGAGTGCATGCATGCTCCAACTCGCTCGAACTGCATGCGTGCTCCGACTCACTAAAAAAAAGCGCTGTTTCCCCCGCCTTCGGTCAACCCTCGCCTGCCCAGAGACGCACCTGCTTCGGCGGATCCCCCGGAGCCGCAATCCCGGGCCGTGACGGTTCTCCTAGCCCCCGAGCAGCACCTGGCCGTGTGGGCCGGCATGGCCCTCTGCTTCCTCTCCCAGACCATCGTCGTCGCGGCTCAGATGCTGGTGTCCACCACCACCGCCGACCGTTCTTTCGCCGGTTCTTCGATATCCGGCGGCGGCGGTGGCGGCGGCGGCGACAGAATGACGGCGACGGCGTGGGCCGCGTGCGCCTCGGTCGGCTTCCTGGCGGCGATGCTGGCGCTGTGGTGGACCCTGCTGGCCAGCGACGGCCGCGCGGCGGCGGTGGCGCAAGCGGCCGCGGGGGCAGGAGGAGGCCAATCGGCGGCTTCACGGGGAAGGCGGCCGCGGCCGCGGCGGCGGCGGCGGGTCGGGATGGGGCGGGGGGACCCCGGGGCCGTGGTCATGTGTCCGAGGGAGGACATGAGGGTGCTTGTGGAGGGCGTGGCGGCGACCGTGGGACCGCCGGAACCGAGGCGCCTGTGTCAGACGTGCCTGGTGCGGAAGCCGACGAGGTCCAAGGTACGGTATGGTACGATAGGGTACGATACGGTAAGGTATGGTAGGATATGTACGGTACGGTGCGGTGTGGTACGATACGGTACGGTGGTGGTACCGCATGCTCACGTGCCGTGGGTGTACGATATTTTTTGAGAGTCTTCCCGGTGGATATGGAATAGAAACGCCTCCTGCCGTTGTTCTGGAACGGTTTATTATTGTTGACGTTCTTGCCAGTGTTGGTTGAGGTTTTGCGGCTACATATCTCTCTGGTTTTAGCCGCAGGAGTTGGGACTGCAATCAGGGTGGTCAAGATCATCCACATACATGGTAGCCGCGATGCGTTACGATACTTCAGACCTATGCCTTCGCCCTCTTGCCTATACACCACCTTCCAGCCATCTGACGGCGTTTTATTCGTCCTTCCTAAATGCGGCGCTTGTGTTATTATTATTTTTTCTTACGTTTTTACCACCGGTGGTATAAATGTAAATTAGCACTGCGCGGAGTGCGGCCTCTGCGTCGGCAGGATGGACCACCACTGCGTGTGGCTCAACAACTGCGTCGGCTGCGGAAACCACCGGCGCTTCGTGGCGTTCGTGTTGTGCCAGCTGGGGTACGCGGCGCTCTTCCTCTCGGTCTCGACGGCCTCCATGGCCAAGGAAATTTCTTCCGAGGTGAAGGGGCCGCGTCGACAAAAGCCGAACCATTTATGTTTTTTGTTTTTTATCTTGACTTTGAATCAGCGCTCACGGAATTATTGCCGGGTCGGAAAGAAAGATGCTCAAATCTGTGGTCAAACAGAAGTTGGCCCTATCTATTATAGGTTTTCGCGGCAAACGAAACCATTTCCCTCTTGTATAACGGGAGTCGAAACACCTGAAGAGACTGTATTTTTTTTTGGTACAGCAGTAAAACGGCCAAGTGATGTAGTTTGGTTCCCCCCCCTTCTTTTCCCCCGCTTCACGGGTTATTTGCCCCTCATCAGCTTATGATGGAAGCGTGAGTCGGAGGGGGAACGGGGAGACAAAGAGCACTTCGAAGTATGTGATAGAGGGCATCTCGCGCGGCAGCTTGATTCGACGGATCTACGAAGGCACTCCTTTGAGAGAATTGACCGAAACGGACACTACACCTTGTCAAAGGGGGATAAACCAAAGCCGCAACCCAAGTGTCCTCAATCTCCGAAGACGACAGTCACTCCTCTCCTCCTGGTTTCTCATCTTCTTTTTTTTTTTTGCTTTCGGCGATGTTTTGTTCTCTTCGGCAAACCAAACCCCCCAGGGAGGCGTCTTCAAGGTGCTGGGGACTCTGCTGGGTAAGACTTATCTCCCGACCTTCCTTCTGACGCTCGCGTCGGCATTCGGAGTCGTCATGCTTACTGGGATCGCTCACGAGCAGGTGCGCGCTTGCTTGGGTCAAAAGGAGGGGGGGGGGGGGGGGGGGGGGGG